TCACACCAGAGCATGAATCCACTTTAAATCTGGTTTCTGCTTCCTGCAGAATTTTGCGGCTTATAGTTTAGTGAGGCCCAGGACTTGTCTAGCTGAGCAGTCTAAAGGCTCCGCCCTAAACTACAAGCTCCAGAATTCTGCAGGAGGCAGAAATTGGATTTAAAGTGGATCCATGCTCTAGTGTGATGAGGTCCTTGGTCTTCTTTTTTCCTTACTGTATAGTTGTTAGCCTTAATTGTGGTTGTATTCAGTTTCTAGACACTCGGGCATCAGGATTCAGGGATGAGTTGTGAATTTAGATTTTGAAGAGGACTATAAAACCTTCCTTATTCCGATTAGTTCTGATATGTCTGGATTAAGCTTCAGTTTGTTTACTTTCATCCAGTACATTACTGAAATTGGACAGTAGTTAAGAAAAAAACATATGAACTAGTAAAGCACCTGTAGGTTTAGTTGCAGGGAATGAATGAGCAAGAACTGGGTAATGTCATCCTGAGCTAAGTTCTGATTTGCACTGGAAGCTGAAAACTGAAGACTTCAGCATGCCACATAAGAAATAATTTTGACTTTTGAGATGGAATACAATATTAATATCAACCTTTTATGTCTCTCTTCTTACAGGCTTTCTACAAGTATACGAGAACTACAGAATTTCAAAGTTTTATTACAACAGACAAGTTAACAAAGGTTTTGTACCTACTGCTAGAAGTGGTTGATGATTTGACACCAAGCAAAACAAAACAATATTTATAGCAACTGTTCTACAGGAGAAAAAAGTGTAATGCCCACTTGAATATATAAAGTAGAAATGGCTAGCCATTGGACAAAGATATTTATGAGTGAAATGCCTAATTTTAAACATGTAAATTATGCTTATCTTCCACGTTTTCTTTTTCTTACTTTTTTGTACACCTCTTGTACTGTCACTTGCAACAAACTTTTTATTGTTTTTTTTTCTACTGAGATTCAAGCAGTTTCATCTAGATATTATTTCCATTGTCTTAATGGGAAAAGATTGCAATGTTGCCTAAAAATGGTGATATTTTAAACTATTGTATTTATTTGAAGGACCAGATGCTGTTAAACACAATTTAGTTGTTACTACATATTTGATTTTTAAAACAGTAACAGAAATGGCCAGTAAGAATTTTACTAAATTGAGCTGCCCCTTTATATCCAGGGGAGATGCTCCTTTCTTTTTCCACTTTGCCCTTTTTGCTACCTTGTCCCTTTAATTTTGTTTCTGTCACAGCTGCTTGCCTTATGAGGAAAGACTGTCTTAAGCTTATCCCAGCATCCATCAGTTTGTGTACTTGTGTGCTGAAGGGAACATTAGGAGGTCAGTGCTGTTAACGTGACTGTTTTGCTGAAGCCTGCTCTTGGCTCCTCTCTATACAGCTAGTTTTTCAGTCTACTGACATTTAAAATAACCCCACTTCCAGAAATAATACCAATTTGTCTTATTGTGGTGATTCTATAATTCAAGTAATAAGTGGAAAGTAAAAGCAAACTATAGCTTTTCAAGATAAAAACTATTTTAAAAGGGACCCTTCAAATTCAGTGCTTCATATCCTGCCTATGCAATTTCCAATCATATCTTTTTTTTAAAAAAAGAGAAAGGTAACAGCTGTAATAAAACGGGTATTCTCTGCATAAATTTGATCCTACCTATGAAGGTAAATTTAATTTGTTCACAGAAGAATAGCAAACAAAAAAAATTGTTTTAATTTTGCAGTAGGAACATTTCTATAAAAATTGTAATGGAGCAGCTTACTTAAAAGTTATCTGTGATGTAATATTTGTATTTAGTGAGGGATATTTGAATACAGCATGAATGTCAATGTTGATACAACATACAGACTTTGTACATATGTTTTGCTTTGAAAAGTAAAACAGTCTTTGCAGAATTAATTAAAAGTGCTCTTAAACCCTTTTAATTTAAGAAATCCTTACTATTGTGCATGTGGATACATTACTTTAAGCAACACTGTTTCAGAATGTAGATGTTCAAAGTATGAGGAAAAACACTGGAAAAGGAAAGTAGTATTCTTATCGTCTATACTGTTATGCATAATGGAAATCTTGCCTAAAAATTAAGAGGAAGCACTGTGTCAGCTCCAGCATCTGGGCAACTTGAGCAGAATCTTTATACTTAAGGATTTACATACGATACTACCTTTGGCTTAACATCACTTTGTGTATATATCATACTCAGCTAAGTAGCAGAATCACTAAGAAATCCCATCAGTATATTGCAAAAATGTGCATGGGTCACCAGCAAAAGAATGTGGTGTACATTGGTCATGTGGCTGGCTCTGCTGTGCAATCATTTAACAGCACCCCTCTGCTGGATATGGAAGTTGCAGAACTGATCAATTTCTTATCTGCATTCATAAGTCCACTTAAGTTTTTTCATGTCAGAAGCAACTTGAGAAACTGTAAGGATGTTGCCCAGGGACACCCAGATGTTTTATCTTCCTGTGGGAGGCTTCTCTCATGTCCCTGCATGAGAAGCTAGAACTGACGGAAGCTTATCCCGCTCCCAGGATTCGAACCACTGACTTTTCGCTCAGCAGTCCTGCCAGCACAAGGGTTTATCCCATTGCGCCACAGAGGCTTCCTACTTAAGAAGATGAAACTCCCATACAGGATTCCAACCAGTATGTGTATGATCTCTATATACATACACACACACACATACACAAAATTAAGTACCCGGTATTGCCCAGGTATACATTTTCAAATCATAAAATTGTAAAGCTAATGAAATTAATATTTCTAATAAATAGCATTACAAAAGGCACACCTGGACTATGACAGATACATAAGCTAGTTATTAATAAATGGTTCAAACTCTCAGCCTCAGAAAGTCGTGGACACAATCCCCTTTTGTATAAAGCTTTAAATGGTTGCCTTGAGCAAGTCACATATGCCCATGGGTCCCATACTTCCCGCCTCAGTAGAAGTCCAGCCATCATTTCTTTCCTTTCAAAATGTTTTAATACATGGATTGTGTCTTTGACTGTTGAAGACATGCTAGCAATGGCCTCCCAAGCTCTGGGTTTTATGCCTCAATGTAGCCTTCATCCTAAGCTCTTTCATAACCTAACCACCTGAATGGCAACAGATGAAGCCTTTTTCTTGGACATTGAAGTCTCACAGTCTCAAAGTGAAGACACACACCATTAGCATTTTCGATTTGTTTTTTTCCTTCCTCCCTTTCCCTTGTACACCTTGTCAATTTCTCTCTTTGCTTTATCTTCCTTTGGGTTTCCTTTTTCTTTGTTCCTTGCCCATTTTTGTCCATCCCCCCCCCTCCTTTGTCTTCCCTTCTTTCCTATTCTTTTTGTCCCTTTCTGCATCTATTTTTTTTCTTTTTCCTTCCTCATCTGGTCTTTTTTTTTTTTTTGAAGTAACAGACATGCATGCACTCATGTACGCATACTTTCCAAAATATAATTCTTCATTAAATTGCTTACTTTTCTGGCATGGATGTCTCTGCTGCAGTTTTCAGTGCTATGTCTTGCGTCATGGTGCAGTCATTTTGTGCCCCAGTAGGTTATCCGTTCTATCAATATAATGCCCTCTTGTGTTTGCATCTGAATGCTGCATACATACATAGACCAGAATATATAATGTTGCTTAGTGTATCACAAATTGGATGAACAAACCTCATTACTAATCTGACCAAGACATGATATACCATAGTACCATTTTTCCAGTCCTCACAAGTTTTCAGAGTTTCTCTACAAGCAGAAAAAATAGTCTTTTTTTGATAGACAAGACTTTCAGAGCAGAAGTGTTAAATTGAATATAATCAGTAGAACATAGTTTATCATGTACTAGTCATATATGTATATGTGCACATATCAAAGTATGTACGTATGTTGGTTGGTTTTTTTTTTATCACAAAGGCTCTTACATGGCTTGATGGAGCTGAACCAAACTTGGCACACATACCCATCATTGCCCAACTTGAAATGGTGGAGTTTCAAAAACAAAATCCACCTCATTTTGGGGTGAAGGCCCCAGAAAGGGAAAGAAAATCTATATAGCAATAGATTCAGCTGTGTCTCTCTATTACCAAATACTCTTCAGTCCAATGGAGAATCTGGACAGAACCTTTTTAAGATGTTACTGTCGGTGTAACTGCTATTTAAGGCAATAGCAATATAAGACAATATCCAGTAAGCTCTTACATAAGCCATTCTCTATTCAGGTGCAGTGAAATGCAGGCACTGCTGCCACCCACTCCCCCCCCCCCCGAAAAAAAGATAGCGGAGAAGGTCCCAGCCACATTTATAGATTTATGCCCTGAAGATGAATAGGTGCCTGCCTCTGCCCTAATGGAGATAAAAGCTTTTTTTTTTCTGGGCTTGCATATGTCATCCATCTAAACACATTGGTTTTTTGGACTTCACACCAACTCTAGATGTGACTGAAAAACAAATGAGAAAATACTGGCTAGTATGTATCAGTAACCTTGGGTACTCCAAGTAGCAAATGTGAATAAGATATTTATTTTTATAGTATTTATACCCAGCCCTTCTCAATCCAAAGGGGCTCAGAGCAGCTTACAGAACACACATAAGGCAAACATTCAATGCCGATTATACATTTAAGAAGGACAAGCAACACAGAGGTAATGGCAGTTTTCCCATCTTATTTCCAGCATCTTGGAGGCTGTACTCGACTCCAGACACGGGAGGGTGCTGTCACTCCATCTTCCATGGCAAAGAGCTTTCCTCCAATCAATGACCTTAAGGGCACGTTTGTTACTTCCTCGCTAAAAGCAGTATCTATTTTCTCTACTCGCATTTCTGCTTTCGACCTGCTAGGTGAGCAGATGAGCTGGGTTTAATGGCAGGTGCTCACCCCAACCCAGGCTCTGCTGACCTTTCGTTTGACAGGATTTTTCTGCAGCACAGTGGTTCAGCCTGCTGTGCTAAATCCGCCCTTTAAGATGCATCGGTCCTTTAAAAAAAAAACAAATGAACACCTTGCTGGAACAAGAATTTTAATGAATTATATTTGTATACTGACACTGGTCAAAAGACTTGATGAGATGCTCACAGTTTGCACCAGCACAACAATTATACTGTACACTATACAAGATGAGTATCTCTTATCCAAAATACTTGGGTCTTGATGTGTTTTGTAATACCTTTATTTGCATACATATACATGATGAACTGTCTTGGAGATGACACTGAAGTCTAACCACAAAATTCTTTTGTTTCATAGGCACATTATATAAAATGTTAATAATTTTGTGCATAATGCAAAGTTTGTGTACACTGAAGCCTTAGCAAAGGTGCCACTATTGCAGTCACACATGTGGACAATTTTGGAGTATTGGAGAATTCTGGATAAGGAATGCTCGAGTTTATAGTTTATAAAGTGAAATCAGTGTTAAAATGTAATTAATTCTGTACATATAAAAAGTGACAATGTAAGAAAAAGATCCTGTATATCAAATACAGTATCTTTCACATAAAAATAATACAATTTTTTCCCTGAAGCTACAACCTTGTAAAAACTCTTGTATTTAAGCTTTGTTGCACAAGGAGACATTGATTTCAGCAGCAGTTCTCCTGTTTAGTCTTCACTAGAAATGAGGATTTACTGACTTCAGTAAGAGTTTTCCTATGTATAATTTAAGCGAACATGGAAAACTTTGCAGGATCACAGCCGGAATGCCATATCTTGCCACAGAAAAATAACTATTGTGTGGCATTATAAAGTAGATTTTTTTCTCCTCCTACACTTTTCCATGCACTGTGCAAAGCCTGTGTAACTTGTGCTCCATTCCTTATGCTCAATAAAAGCGAAATTAGAAATGGTTTGGTGTTACACTGGGCTTGGTCGTTCAGTCTCTGATATATAATCATGCTGCAGAGATCCAGCGTGAGGCATGAAACTATTGCTTTGATGTCCCCAGTCATAGTATTCAGGGGAGAAGCTAAAAAACAAAATTGAAGAGAAATTAATAGCATAAAACATGAAACATAAAACAGTATTTGAGGTCACATGTTCTTGTGAAGTTCCTTGCAAAGACTTGACTAGACAGTTTGTTTCAAGGAATTGTGTAGACATGTTTGCTGCAATCCTGTGGTTCTTGGAATGAATGGCAATAGCGTTGGACAGGAATTTGCTAGAGGGCTTGGAACTGTAACAGAATGCAACGCTGCGGCTTGGCCTAAATTTCATACTTAGCTGTTAATCCAGGTCATTAAGAGTTCTACAGTAACAATTTCCAATTCTACTGAGAGAGAAATTTGAGAAGAATGTTTATTTACACACAAGGTATTTTGATGAAACAAAGGAAGATTGCAGATTTTTCTGATTGATTTATGTCTTACAGGATCTATAACCTGTTCGGCTGCTTATCTTCCTAGCAATCTCTTAGAATAATGAATTAAGAGGAATATTTTTTATTCTTCTGACATCCTACAACCTTGTACAATTTAAGAGCAGTTAATGAGCAAAACTGAAGTTGGCTTTTGTGCATAGGCCAGTCAACTGGTGCACTTTCATCCTGTTTGAAATAATTGAGACCTAAGATTTAGATTCTGTAGCTCAAAAATATTAAGCACAGTTCTTCCATTCACAACTATACATGGAAGCTTTCTAAAGGTTTAATTATTACGTTCCAACCTCAATACATAGCATTTGAAGCTTTATTAAGCTTTAGCTACACCCTGTTTCCTTAACTTGCCTTCCTTGAACACTTTGCTAAAGATTGTAATTCAGGGAACCACGGAGAACTCTGAAATATTTCATTTATGCAGGGTCACTGCATCCATCTGTCTCACCTGCCATGGATGCTATGTGGTGATATGCTCCATGCCAAATCATCATCACTGTCATATCTGCGAGGATTGTCAAAGAAGTAAGATCTTGGATTGAATGCATGAGATGGTACTATTCCTGGGTTTGTCTGGGAAAGAGAAGGAAAGGTTACTTTGTACGGACTCATTGTTTTCTTGGCACTTGGTGATTTGGAGTCTCTTTAAATGACAAATACAGATGTTTATCTTGTCAAGACAAATCTATGAGAAGCTAATTCGCTTTCTCCCTCCCTACTTTCAACATTGTGTCCTCACTTCCAGTTTTCATCTCTCATCCCTGTCTTCTGCATCCTTCTTCTACATTGTTCTGTCTTATCCCTCAAACTAGAGAGTGGAGATGCAGTGAATGGGAACCAGCAAAATGAAGATAAGCCTTGCCCAGTTTTCACATTTGGAAAGGGATGGAATGACTGACAGGGAAATGATTTGTCTTCACACTGTTTTGCAAGCCTTATTTCCTAATACAACACCAATCTGTCATGTTTCCTTTAGCCATTAGAATCTAGTATAACTCTGCCTCACCCCTTGTAGGTACCTTTTGGCTATCCTTCCAGAGACAAGAAAGGCAGCACTCTCTGTTCCAGGCCATACCTTTTAAGCCTGATCTGTAGGGCTGAAAAATCACATGTGCCTACTGTGCAGTATCACTTAAGAGTTGCAGTAAAATATACATTATATGCAGAGCTTGGGACAACTACTAATAGAATCCCCAGTCAACATGACAAGTTGCCCTGCTCTCTATTAAATTCATTTACCCAAAAATGTATCTTCTCTAACTACATATAAAAAGTTTTCCTTGGTGATGTAGGAAACATTTTAATTAATTGACTTTGCCAGGTATCTTTTCAATCTTTTCATGAAAAATCTGCTTTTCTGTTGCTGAATTGTTTGCTCAAACATTTTTAACTATCACTGAAAACAAACATAGGATGTCTTTGCCTCCCCGGGGTTGCCTCCAAAAGGGGGACTAGGAATTGTACGAATTTATATTGCATTTTAAAATGTATAATAAGCCAACCTCCCCTTTTTCTAACAATGCACGGGAGATACAAAGTAGCTTTTCATGTATCCTAAATTTTCCCTAAACACTGGTGACATTGTATTGTCATTTTAAAGAAATGTGTCTCTCCTCACCTCTATACATCTAGAGCCATGCTTAAACCGCGGGGTCCTCTTAGCTCAATATTGGGGTCCCAAAAATTGGCAATAGAAAAGATTTATGAACACAACCAATTTACACAAATCTGTTTGCAACAACCTGCAGTGTTAACAGTAGACGCTTCAGCAAATGCTTCAGCCATACATCATAGAAAGGGAGACGCAACCTGTTTAACAAGCCTTACAAATGCCAATTTAGTATAAGAAAATGTATTTTATATACTTATATACCTGGGGTTTACGTAAAAAGGTATTAGGTAAAAAGGCTTCATGGGTGGAAAACGTTTTAAAACAATTACAGCATAAACTTTTGCAGACTACAACTGAATGCCTCAGATAGGATGACAATGAGTGTGTGATATTAATTATGCTGGTCTTTCAGATGCTACAAAACCTACTGCTATTTCTAATGCAACAAATTCACTCGTTTCCCATCTCATCCTGATTTATTGGGGAGAGGTACATTTTGTCATCAGATAAAAATCACATAAATTAGATAAACTGTGCATTTAGATAAGATTATGTTCATGTTTTAAAAACCCTAGATCTACAAATATATTTGCAGGTCCCTCTCAAACAAGCAGTATTTAGTATTTTTCTGTCAATGCACGGGTCATTTGCACTTGTATATACAGTATAAGCTTCCTGATATACATATACACATACAGCACTGTATTACTATTTTGGGGGGGGGGGGACTACTCCCTCTGGTGGCTGTCTACAATCATATGATACTGAATTATGAAAGATACAAGATCTGTTGTCTTTCAGGTTGAGATATTCCTAATGTTTTTTACTTGCCTATTATCCTGTCCTTAGGAACAAATCTGATGCCATTTGCTTATGGTCATGGGTAAGAGTGAATTGATTCAAAACATGAGAATCTCAAATGGATTTTTCTCATCAGGAAGTGTCCTGAAGCTCTTCTGTATTTTTAATATTGTGCTTCTTTCAAATATGTTCTATGTAAATATGAATGATTGCTTGACCAGTTCACTTTGTTTACTCTGAAGGTAGTGGGAGTGCCTGAGAGAATTTTTTGTGTTATACAGAACTCCATATGTTTTTTTTCATTTTCTACTCTGTCTGTCTGTCTGTCTCTCTGTCTGTCTTTCTATCTATCTCTGGTGACATTCTGGAGCTATTATGTTAATTAAACAACCCAGACACAGAAATCTATTTGAAAATCTTTCTCCAAGATTCAAGCATCTTGAATTTTCCTATCAATGTAAAGGGTTTTTTCCCCATTAGCATATATAAGAATTTAAATTTAATATTTATTAGACATAGATAAATAATGATTTCAGCGGGGAAAGACTCTATTTGTTAAGTTAGAGTTAAGCAAGACTTTCCCTTTTTTAAAGTTAAAATGAATGTGTTATTGTCAATCAAAAACAATAAATATAACTTACTAGGTCTTTTGTAGGGTTTCGAACACGAAAGAAAAACACCACTAAGGAAGTAGGCAGGAGCTCCCAAATAAAAAGTATTATTCCGAATACTATATATCCAGCATCACCCAGCTGGCACTTCAGATCTGCCTGTTGCAAAATCAAAGTGAAAAAGGTTTAAAATAAACAACTGCACTCAGTATTTGCCAGCCACCATGTCATCCCAATCATCTATTGCAGACAGTAGTAGAAAATGTAATAATGCAGAGATGCAATCTTTGCCCTCTGAAAATCACTTGTACAGAAAACATCTTTATGGGAATCGGAGATTGTTTGGGTTTATCAAGAAACTTCTTGGCCTAACTCAATCAATATGCATCTATTTAAATGAACATATTAGTTTCATAGGAATTATCTAACCAATTTGATGAAATGTGGTTGGAATGTATTAAATGGCTGTGCTACTAATTCAAACAAAATGTTGGAAAATTGTAGCCCATGACATTCATAGATAATTTGGTGTGCTTTTGGCTTTTGCAGATGTAACCACCTCAAGTGGAAACAAGACAGATCCATAATTTGAGATGGCCACAATGTTATTGGTCTGGTGAGGTTGAGGGGAAGCTAGTATGGATATGACACAAGGAGTGGTAGATGAAATATGTAAAATCAAAACCTCACTGGTATACCCGTATGTACACCCCTTAAGTCTGCAGTAAATCCAAGCTATGTCCATAGACTTCCATGAAGCTTTGCAGTCATGGGTGGAATTAAGGTGTTCCAAAGTAAAGTACCTTGTTTTTAAGGTAAAGGTAAAGGTTTTCCCCTGACATTAAGTCCAGTCGTGTCCGACTCTGGGGTGTGGTGCTCATCTCCATTTCTGAGCCGAAGAACCAGCGTTGTCCATAGACACCTCCAAGGTCATGTGCCCAGCATGACTGCATGGAGTGCCATTACCTTCCAGCTGGAGCGGTACCTATTGATGTACTCACATCTGCATCTTTTCGAACTGTTAGGTTGGCAGAAGCTGGGGCTGACAGCGGAAGCTTACGCCACTCCCTGGATTCGAACCTGCGACTTTTCGATCAAAAAGTTTAGCAGCTCAGTGGTTTAACCCACTGTGCCACCAGGGGCTCCTTAAGCTATATCTATAGACTTCCATTAGCTTTGCAGTCATGGGTGGAATTAAGGTGTTCTAAAGTAGTTTTGGTCTTGTAGCAAAATATACAAATGGATCTTATAGCATCTTAGAGTCTAAATGAGAAAAGTTGGTAGCATAAGCTTTCACAGACTAAGTACTTCCTCAGATATCTTTGCATGCTTATATTTCAGATTAATATGGCTAGGGCCTCATCTACACTGACCATATAATGCAGTTTGAAGCCAAAGCATGCTGCAGTGTGTGTTAAGGATGTTAAAGTGCAACAAGCAGAGTGAGGGGAAAGCTTGAAATAAGACCCTGAATGTGCTTCAGCACAGCTGCAATGTAAACTGCATGGCGAAACTGGCTCTGTGGAATGTGAAGTGCATTGCAGACACCCACTGCACTGTGGTAGGAAGGCTGCTGCTGGAAAATGCCCAAGGGCATGGCTTGGCAGGAGGTGACTAATTAATCCCCTGGAAGAGGTAATGGACTTCCACTGCTATCATCTTCTCTTTTTTCCACCTTATATGCCTCTAGAACACTGTCGAACCACAGATAATGCAGATTATGGAAAGGCTTCTAGACCATCGTCCATGGTTAATGTGATCTCATCCTGGTCTCAAACCTATTCCAGACATGGCAATCTAATCACTTGCACAGTGACACCCAAATAGATTTCAATCTGACCTACACTGTTAGTGTAGATGAGCCCTATATCTTTTAAGTGGAGTAAAGTAGTTATATTCACTCCACTCCCCTGATTTCAATGTTCATTAAAGTAACATACACCACAATAAAATTATAAACAGATGAACAGGTCAATGACTAAGGCCTACAACCCTTTCTTAATTTCAAAAATAGTTACACTTTGATTAAAACAAAGTTTTTTATAAGACACAGTTACAGTTGAATGAAGAGAGCATCAAGCAGAACCCATCTGCAGCCAATTATTTTAAATGCAAGGATTTGGATGGGTGGAGAGAGGTTTTTAGTTTATACCAGCAAGTAGTACAAGGCTTAACATTTTACTGTTATGAGGAAATATTGCACTTGCCTGATCAGATACATTGTACCAATCATAATCAAAAGAGTTCACTGTCTTCCTTTGAGAAAGTGACAAAATGACCAGGTTGTAACACGCTCTTGAGGTATAAAGTAGTATAACAATCACTCCTATAGTTGTCAGTTGACATACAGATGAACCCTGAAAGAGAAATTGACACATTTTAGCATACCAGTATTTACATTTGGGTTTTGAAAATGAATACTGACATGTCACAATTATAGTTTTGGGGGAAATGTAACAAATTCTTATACTATACTGCCCCCCCCCCCCAAAAAAAAAAGAAACAACAATCCTGCACTATTCTCAAGACTGGATGAAGCATGAAACAAAATAAGCAGTTGTATTTTGAATTAGATATATATGAGGGCACTAAAAGTGTTTATGGCAAGTGCTTAGCACCTCTAAAGGTCTTAACCTGGTCCTGGCTGTGCTCTGGAGGTACTGAAATCTACAACAAAGATAACATTTTCAATGGAAGTGAGGGGGTAACTCTTCGGTGTTCCTTCATCTCAAAAGCAGACATTGGTTGCAACACAAAGTAAGGAAACTGATGATCTTCAAAAATGTTTTAAGAAAAACATAAGAGGAATGGGCTAGATTTCTTAGTGTGGTTGAAGTTGGAAGTTGTGATACATAGCCTCTCTCAACAAATGATTGCCAGAGAACATGAGGTGATGAAGAAAACAGTAAATGGGCCCAATGGTTATAGCTGGAACTTTTCTTATTATTAAAAAAAAACATAGTCAAGTGGCAGGCATTCTTTGAAAAAGCAAATATTTTTCTAAATTTCCTAATAAATTTATGGTATTGAGCATTACTGTAGAAATGTGGAGTCTCAGTATATTCATGTAATCATAATATAAATTGCATACACTCTGAATACTACCAAATGCATAGGCAAACATTTTTAAAAATAGGGGGGTGGGGTTGTTTTTGATAATATATCAGGAAAGTAGAAGTCACTGCAAAGAATAGAATTGAGGAAGCTGTATAGTATTTCCTCAATATATTCAATTCAAAGAGCAGGTTACCTACAAAGCCCTATATGGCTCAGGTCCTGCCTATTTAAATGACCACATCTCTCCCTATAAACCTGTCCAGACTTTAAGATCAGCTGGGGAGGCCCTCCTCTCGACCCCACCTCTCTCACAAGCAAGGTTGGTGGGGACAAGGGAGAAGGCCTTCTAAATAGTGCCCCCCCCCCGACTCTGGAATGCTCTCCCCAAGAAAATAAGACAAGTGCCCACCTTGTTAATTTTTTGGAAGGAGCTAAAAACTTGACTATTTAAGCAAGCCTTTAAGAATGGCTAGACTGTATTAGAAACCATCGGATAGGATTTGGAATGACCATGAGATTGTTAATTATAGCCCTGGTTAGTTTGATAGCAGGAATGTCCAGTTAAACAGTGATATTGTTTTTGATTGTTTTTATATGATAATGCTTTTAAATTGTTAGTTATTAATATTTATGGTATTTTAAATTGCACTAAATTATCATTGGTTATTGTTGTTTATCATGCATTGCTCATATTTTTGTATTATTACTTGTTGTAAGACATCCTGAGTCCCTTCGGGGAGAGGGGGCAGGGTATAAAAAAATATTATAAATGTATTATTATTATCAGTACATGGCTACATGAGCTCGGGGTATTAAATGATCTGAAGTACCACTTGCTGTATTAGCTGGCCCTCACCTTTAAAAAAAGGAGCCAGAACTTCAGTGATATTCTTGCATATCAGTGCAGTTGGATATACAGAAATGTGACATCTTGAACTTCTGGGGGGCCCTTGGGGGCAAAGGAGCAGAAAGAGCATGGTACCCTTAGGTTTCCAGCGCCAGCAACACATTTATATGCTAAATTGCTCCATCTTCATCCTTCCCAGCCACTAAAACAGTGGTTCTCAAAATGTGGGTCCCCAGATGTTTTGGACTTCAACTCCCAGAAATCCCAGCAGCTGGTAAACTGGCTGGAATTTCTGGGAGTTGTAGGCCAAAATATCTGAGGACCTACAGATTGAGAACCACTGCACTAAACAGTCACGGAAGTGTGGTAACTAGCTGCAGAAATCTTAAGTACAGACCAGGAAGGAGTGGAATTACATTACATATTCCAAAATATTATATTCCATCAAAGTGGTGTAAGAGCTTTTAAAAATTGTAATAAAAAGTACAATCATGGGAGGAGGTGTTCTTTATTTGTAATTACAGTAGTTTTACATGACAGAGGCAAATCTATGTTCCTCAAAGAGAAAGGAAGTATTAGCTAGGAAGTGGACTTGCAAAGAGAATAACATGGTAGCTCTGTGTCCTGTGCCATTACCAAGTGACAAGACAATGGGCCGAAGAGACCAAGGGATGCTTAGGAGAAGCTGGTGTGTTTCAAATCCACAAATCTGACAAAGGATTTCAAGACAGTTGCTGTCAGTGCTAAAGTATAAGAGAGGCCCTGCTTTTATATCTAGTAAGACTATAACAAAGGAGCTCTCTAGGATCAGTTTGCAGGCTTATCTAATCTACTTCATAGAAAGAATGAAGCTACGGAAATGATAAGGTTATCACTGGCTTCTAATCATGATGCCATATACAGACACTAGAATCAGAGCCAAAGCAGCTCTGAATATCAGTTACTGGATATCACAATCAGGAGACTGCCCTCTTATGTCCTGCTTATGGGTTTTCAATTGACATCTGCTTGGCAGCTGGTCTAGGCAAGTCTTTGATCTGGGATCTGATTCAAAATGGTTATTTTTGAGGAAATGCCATTTTGTGGTTTTAATTATGTAATGCTGATATTTACTCTAAACAAATTTGGTTTTAAAAATAAATCAGCAATAGATAATAGCCACAGTTTGGTGCATTAATTAAGTCGTACTATAAGTAAATACATAATTATTGTGTGCTTTGAAATTGTTCCTTACTTATGGCAATTCTACCATGGGATTTTCTTGGCAAGATTGGTTTAGAGGTGGTTTGCCTTTACCTTCTGAGGCAGCCAGAATCTGACTCACCCAAGATCACTCAGTGGGCTTCCATAGCTGAGCAGAGATTCAAACCACTACATCACATTTGCCTTTAAAATACATAATACATCATCTTTATTTCTTGAATAGTCACCATTCATATAGTATCCTTTCAGCATAAAGCTATCCATGTCTATAAGGACACAAACCCCACTGTGTTCCAGGACAGTGTACATGGGACATTACAGAGGGCTTCCATTTATTTTAGATATGATCTAAAATGGGTTTGTATGTTTTTATGAATTTGGTATTAATTGCTGCATTCCTGCATACTACAATGTAGTCTTATTTTCTGTATCTAAACACACTGCTTTACAAAATCAGTATCGTCGATAATATTGCTGAACTTTCATATTTTGAGAAGAACTGAAACTTAGTAGAAAAGAGCTGTGAAACCTGTGGTGGTACAGTTGTATGAAGCAGGAAATATTTAAAACAGGAAATGAGTGTTACATATTTCTGTCTGCTTGGAAACTGGTTATGAAACACGGTAGCTGTATAAGTCTGACAATGAGATAAGCCGACAGTATTCTCCCATCATATTATACTTATGTCTCTAGTATATCTAAGAATATAACTGACAGTTTGAAGAATGAAAATGTCATCAAATTAATCTACTGGAAGTGTGTGGTTTTATGCAACATTATTGCATACATAGTGGGCTATCCAATATACTAAGCACCTATTTTAGAGCATCAAGTCCTATACCACATTAAAAATGTACGGAGCTTTACCGTACTCTCCTTATGCTGGTCTATGACCATAATAAAGATTTGTTTGTTTACATAGCTTCAAACCCATCATGTCTTCTATCACATTTGAGGATTTCTAACCTATGTCACAAAACCTACAGAGCAACTTGGGTGTGTTAAAATAATCAGTGTGAGTTTGTGATTGAAGTGTAGGTTGTGGAATTTGAATGATGCTCACTGGGCATAGCTGTGCCTACCAGAGAATTATGAACAAATGAAATCTATCAATGTCTCAAAACATGAACTTCCTTGAGGAAGGGTGGGATATAAAGTGATTGACAAATGTTATCTTGTGCTGGGGGCCATGTTGCCTGCTAACAGAGGTCAATGCCATTACTTAAGGACAAAAGATTTCCTGTGGGAAAATTACTCCTGCTAGTATTGCCTTCATCTTTATTTATGCCCTGCCTTTTTAAAAAAAACCTGTGATTTAAGGCAGATTACAAATGAAAACAAACATACTATAGTTTAAAAAGATCGATGTTAAATAGAATTAAACTCTCAACAACACTCAGAAGATCAATGTTAAATAGAATTAAACTCTCAAAAACACCCAAAAACAATTTCAAAACACAGAATTAAAATGTTTTAAAACTATTTTAAAACAATACAATTAAAACAGTGTCTTTAAAGTCCTTTACCTGAGCAGGACTGACTCTTAAGCTCTGCCTTCAATTTTTTTATGTTTGTACACTGTAACACAACAGAGGCACAAATTGCATCTGAGGAAATCTAAATTTTTTCCGGCTTCAAAAGATGACAACCCTTGCAGTAAGTAGTACTGCATGTTCAGGGTAATGTATTCCTTACTAACCTATGTATTACCAAACTTTGCTGGGTAACCTAGTTATATTAGTTCTACATCATGAAATTCTATAAATGAGTAATTCAGCACCAGAACATTCAATGGAAATCCGTATAGGAAGAGCAGTCCAATACATAAACCTACCAAGAAGTGGAGTAGAACTTAAGGTACTACATATAAATTTAACACCACACTTCCTTCTTCTCACTTCAGTGAACTAATGAAAATCACTTTCAGCAAAAGTTTCTTCTTGCTTTCCCCCCCGCCCCTTTCCCACACACCCTCATGTTAGAAATAAAAGAAGCAATATCTGTCCCTCCAGAAATAATGCCAGAAGGACAGTACTGGGCTAAAAATAAGTACTTATAAAAGAACTCCTTAAGATATACTTTACCTTGGATTCCAAGTAAATATTTGCTAAGGACATCTTGGAAATCTTGTAGAGACAAATGGAGAGTGAGATGGCACACAGCACAAACAACGTGTCGTTTATTGCAACCCTCACCAGTACGATGACTTTCCTTTCTGAATTCTCTATTCTCACAAGCACGGCGCAAGTAAGATTCACCAAGAGGAAAAGCAGGCTGACAAAGAAAGAAACTAAGTAGAGAGGCAACCTGGATAGCAGAGGGAAAAATATTGCAAAAATTATTATCCTGCAGTAAGTGTTCACAAAATGCCTTTCATTCTTCAGAAACTAGACTCTCCATGATAACACAATTACACAAATGACATCACACTGAGGATCATAGAATCATAGAGCTTATCAAGTCCTACCTCCTATTCAATAAAGGATCTCCAGCTAAGGCATTCTCAGTAAGTAACTGTCCAGCATCTTTTTGAAGATATCCAGAGAGAGATCCAACCCATCTAGGCAATTGCTTCTACTGCCAACCCATTTTTCTTGTCATGCAAACAGCTTGCAGGAAACACATGTGTAAATATGGTAAATCTGACTTTCCCCTCACAGGAAAACATACCACATTGTGTCAGAAAATTTATTATTTGCTGCTGTATACAGACCAAAATTTATACTAATGTCTCAGGGCACAACATCAGTAATAAAGGCCCTTTGTTAAGCTGAAGTGCCCGCTTTCTAGATTATGACTCTATGTCTAAATACAGTTGCTAGACCCAATGAAAATCTCTGTAATTGAAGGTTATACTCCAGTTGAAATTAGTACTTAGATTTAACACAGACAAAAAACCTTACAGTTACTTTTGTGATCCTAGAGACCTTACATTTCTCCTAGATATTAGAAAAGTTCCACCTTTGAATACATCTCTCAGAAACCTTTAACAAACATGATCAATATAGTAATATTTATGACCTATCCACATTTTGGAAATTATATATATATATATATAGCAAGTTGGCATGGGGGCTTCTCAAAAAATCTTAGCATGGGAGGTTTCTAGTTGCCAAACCACAGAGATGGTTCACAGAAATACCTCACTTCAGACCACTATCCTCATCCATGCACACCCCAGTCCAACAACTGAATTTTTTAAATTAAAAAACTAACTTCCTCTCAGGGGTCAACTATATGGACAGTTAAGACATAGACAGGCAACTACATAAATAAAGAGAGATGGGGATAGCCTCAGATTGTCTTCAAATGTACACTTTGGGATGTGAAGGAAATTCCTACCATGCTTGGAGGCCTCAATCCCTCCAAAAAGAATGCAACTTAAAAAAAGAAAAGAATAGTATGCTCCAAAATGTTCACTAGAGGGCACAATATACATTTCTACCATATTTGTTAAGTACCTGGATCAATTTATGCCCAGGAAAGGTCAGCCCCATACCCACAATATGTGTTTGGAGGTTTTTCTTTATTTACTTATTAATGGAGCAAGTAAAATGCGTTTGCAAGAATAAACCAAGGCCATAAGCACAGTTCCTATTAATTTATTTTATACTAACAATCCATATGATGATTTTCTCATTACAAAATATTTCCTAGGAACATTGCCATTTCAATTCCATTCCCCAGGTTGTTTTAAATTAACCAACTACTTTCCAAAATGGAAGGTATCTATGCATGTGTTTGTACTTTCAGAAGCAATAAAGGTATAGATTCAACAAAGATCAGATGCGGAAAAACATAATGAACCAATAAAATAAAATGATCCTAATGCTTAACTAGTATATGACTGCTGAAACACTTTAGCACTTTGACAATAATTCCTAATGTTTAAAACAAGGCCCAGTAGAAATGAGTGAAAATCCGTTTCTGAAATGCTTTAGGAGTCTAGATGTGACACACAATTAGTGGGAAGGGGGAGACGAAAGACACAAAGGACAGACTTGTGAATATGCAAGTCCAAAACGTATGTGGAAGCTTTGATAGTTCGAGGTTTTTTTTTATCTATGAGGAGATAACTGAATTTATTTACTACCAGTTCAAATTACCTACACAATGGGGAAGGGGAAGAGTTCCAATTCCTGAATGATCTAATCCATGGAGATATGTTTTAAACATAGCAAGAAAAGGAGGATAATTTTACAAATGCCAATATTACTACTATGGGATGTAGTTAAATGCTTGCACAGTCACCACATCTTATTATCCTTTGTCCCATTTTTTAAAATGCTGACTATGCATCACAAGACTTCCTAGGGTGATTCCAGAAAGGGTTTTTTTTTCCATTGTGAAACCACTCTGATTCATTTGTGGAATTTCAAAGGGGTTCTAGATTTTAACATCTTTCATTTGAAATCGTCCTATATTTTCTGACCACTCCTTCACTCTTTCTTAAAAACCCCCCCCCCCCCCCCCCCCGTTTTGACTGACAGCACTAAGAAGAGTGCACAAATTATACAGAATAAATAGGTTACACTTTAGGGACTTCAACCATGAGGATCTCTATTTCACAGTAACAAATATACAAATCTGAAAAATATATTTATACAACAATTTTTAGTAGTGATGCTTGTAGTCCCATAGTTTACGGCATTCAAATCTGGAGGAACTCATAGGTTAAACCTGAAACTAAGTTGAAACCATATTTTCAGCCAGACAGTAACTCAACCAAAAGATTTCCAATACTACAGGTTCTAGATTGGATGGACACAGTTCTAACTGTAAGTATATTAAAATATTGGCCAACAATATTGTTTTTGTTATGTTTGTTTTTTAAGTCACAACAAAAATGTGGTTTCTTACCTGTATTTAAGTAGCTCTGGGGAATACTTTGATTTAGCTTTGAAAATCACCTGTAATAAAATGAGAGTGCATATTATATTTGCAGCAGGCAGTACAAATACAGCTCGCACTGTACTGCATGAAAGATTAATTCACTATATTTAAGATAAGTTGTAGGCCACATACATGCTGTTAGACAATTCCCGTTTACAATAAAACTAAAGATCTACTTCTAGTCAGAAGGTCCCTTTGCAGTGCTAATTTGCAAAAACAGATACACCCGAGTTAACAACGTATATGTATTCCTCAGTATTATTTCCTTATCAGAAAATTCAGTACCAAAGGCAGAAATAACATGGATAGATTCCCATACAACTACTCAACCAAAAAAAGGAGGAGGAAAGGAAGAGCAGTTAAGTATATTCCTGGGTGCTCATCTATCAATTTCTTTATCAACATTCTTTTTTTTGCATAATTTCTTTTATGGGCACCAAGTTTACAAAGATATTTTTTTTAAAACATGCTGGGATTGTTGCTGAGAAAGGCTTTCCCTTTTTCCACCTGCATGTTCAGTAAGAGATTTTGGATATAGCTGCTTTTATCTTGCATGTTGTGGTGGATAGGTTAACAATGACCCACTCTTCTACAGATCAAACTTTATTGCAGTGTTTACTGCAGATACAATATTGCAATCTGATACAAAGCTCTGTCCCTTCAGCCTTTCTTCACCATCCTCCCCATGCTGATATTGCTATAAAAAGTCCTTCTGTGCAGACAAAGGAAATACAAAAAGAGCATAAAAATACTTCGCAAATAGAGCTTTTTTATCAGAAGACATATAGCCGTATTTTTGAGATTTTTCTCACATGCTACATGATGGAAACACGCATTTATGAAGAAATATACAGGTCACTGCAGATGGCCCCTAAACAACCCAGTTTTTAAAAACTAAAGCAGTAACCAGCCTCATTTCATATTAAACTAGAGAATGTGGAGATATAGAAGTCACTAGACAACCATTACAGAAATAGAGAACATCTGGTCCTTCAGATACTGTTGGATTACAATGCCCTTGCAATCCAGTTCTATCACTGCTCATAGTATCTGGGCAAGCTTTGGCTCTTCAGGTGTTTTGGGCTTCAACTCCCAGAAATCCCAGCCAGCTTACCAAATGTTAGGAACTGTGACAGTTGACGTCCAAAACGTCTTGAGGACTCGAGTTTGCCCATGCCTAGGCTGAAGGAATTGTAGTCCAATGCATATATTCTCCTGTGTTAAAAGGTTTAATTTATTTTGCTACTTAATAACTACAAAAACGTGCTCTTAGATACTTAGATCAATGTTGTTCCCTTACACCTCTCCAAGTACTTATAGTGGAAAATGTAGATGTAGGTGTTGAAGGTGACATCTAACCAGATGCCGACTAAACGTTTAATACGTAGGACATAGCAGATAGATACTAGCAATTAAATACATTATTTTTGTTGTGGGCCTTGTAGTTGTTCCCAACTGCATGTTGATCCTAAGGCAAACCTAACATGGAGTTTTCTGTGCAAGATTTATTCAGAGGGAGTTTGCTACTGGCTTTTTCTGAGGCTGAGAGTGTGGTCCAGTGGGTTTCAATGACTAGGCAGGGATTCAAACTCTAGCCTCAAAGGCTCCCATCTCTGCATTCAAACCCTTCACCATGATATAACCATATCTATTTTAGCATATCCATGAACAACCCTAGTAAAAATTTCTGCTGTAAGCATTTTATGAAAGCATTTTAAAGGCTTGATATATTCTGTAATCTAAATATATCCTGTTCCACTTCCCCATAGCCTTTTCCTCATGCATAATATGTTCCAAATCCATTAATCATATTTGTTACTGTCCACTAAATTTTCTTCATTTTGTTGCTACCTTTTAAAATGTAATGTGATTCAGGCAGAGTAGCCCATTAAAAGCTAATGCAGCCACATAAATTAAGGTGTTTTCAGTGCTGTTCCCTTCAGTGCAGAAACAGAGAAGTTCACATAAAAACTCTCTTTGAGCTACTTTGCTATTTCAGTTTTAAGGCAGGAGTGCAGGAAATGGAAAAAAATACACACTTGGGTGGACGCTGACAACAAATGTTTGCATACCCATAATGTGAATATCACATAACCTGCTGCTTATGATGTCTTGTTCGCAGTGTGCAGTACACACTGTGTTTTTTCTTTTTACATTATTTATATTCTAGTCTTCCTTTAAGGAGATCACTCATGTGTATATTTCCCACTGCTTTCGTTTTTAGGACAAATCCAGAATGAAAGTTATTAAGTGACCCAATGAAATTCAATTTCATTTCTGAGCAGAAAAACTAATCAAAGTTTGACTCCAACAATAACCCAGGCTTAGGTTTGCCAGTTCAGAATCATCCCAGGGTCTAAGGTTTCCAGGACAAATTCTGAGACATAGAGATTACCCTTGGTGATGGCATAAAGTACAAACCACAGCTGCCTACATGTTGTCTTGCAAACACACACACACACACACTATTAGCCAGTTTGAAACTTAAGTCCCAAGAACTAAAATATGGTCCGCAACTTCACCATTACTACACTGTTGCAACAAGAGTGACTGGTCTTGTGAAATCCTCTTATAGTGCCAAGTCAATGGAGATGTCTGACTACCCATGAAAGGAACAACAACAAGCCTCCTGACTTCTGCTTCCCCTCCTCCCCCCTCCCCCTGAGTGGAGTGCAGAAGTACCTTGGTGTCTTCGTTTTTAGGCCTGTTACTGTGATTGTTTGGGATGCCGATTCAGAAAATTGCACTGGATAGACCACATCAGCTCTAGATTATTAAATATGGTTTTCTATGGGCAAGTAGGTGGCAACTACTGGATGTCATATGTTCTGTATCAGAAATTAGAGCTGATGTGGTCTATCCAATGCAATTTTCTGAATCAGTATCCCAAATAACCAAACTGAATCTAAAGTTGATTAAAACTGATTTGTAACCCTTTTAGTACTAATGTTGGAGAGTGGTCCCTGGTCAAGTGGTTCCTGGTCAAAAAAGGCCGGGAACCACTGACTTGGGTGGACAGGATAAAGAACATTTATGCCAGTTTTTCTGCTTTTAGCCACAAGATGGATGCAGCACAAAGAGGAAAGTGAGCCTTGGTGCCACAATTAATGGGAGAGAAGGAAGCTATGCAAATAAATGCATAAATTCCCACAGAGGTTTTGTAAACTGCAACAACAAATAATTTAATCTTTGAAAAAGTTTACTAGCTGAGTTGGAGGTCTGCAGTCTTCTCTTTTGCCTGCAGTTGAACCTGCCAAAACTAAAGAATTTGTACCCTCATCTACTGCCTAGATATGACACGTGAACTGGAGTCAGGACCAGACCTTGAGATCTAGAAATCTTTTCCACACTCATTCTCAGTCTATATACTTCTATATACATCTATTACCCAAACATTTAATTGTGCAGTTCCAGGAATCATAGAAATGCTCCCTACAAACACAGCACAGATTTTTGTTCCAGTGACTTTTAATATTAGGTTTTTCAACTCTAGAGGAATTTTAAAACCAAAATGAAAAGAATGTGCAGCATTTCAAATAAAAGTTGCACAATCAAATTAACAAAGACGCTAAAGATTTTCAGTTTCTTCATAGATTATATTTTTAGGAATTGCACTGCTGAATATCAAAGTCATGTGAATATGGTTTGAACAAAACGTTAGAGATTCTTGCAGAAGGAATCCAAGATTATTTTCCCGACTCTAGCATTCATATTCATGCTTTTTCTAGGCATGTTTTCTAAAGATTTTATCTGAGGTCTCTTTGAGGGTATCAAAGATGGAATGCACATATGGCAATGTAATCAGGGCATTTAAAATTTACAAACACAGTTGGAGCAGTGGAACCCTGAAACAACATGTTGTTGAATATAGTCCAGGGTTTCAGATGATCCAGGTTTTTTTCTTTATTCTTCTTCTGAAATAATAGAAAGTGGGTAGAATGAAAGCGGAAGAACTCAAATAACACAATTTTGGTTGGGTGGATACATTCTACAGAACAGTTTAGTAATACTTATATGATAGGAAGCTATGTTCCACAGTAACAGCATCTGATGGAAGATGTAAGTGTAGACATACAGTTCCTATAAGTTTTTGCCATATACAGTCAGCTTAAAAGAAATAGAAATATATATAGAAAATATAAATAGAAATATATACACTGTATTTCTTCAACTCTAAGATGCATTTTTCCTCTCTCTCTCTCTCTCTCTCTCTATACACACACACACACACACACACACACCCTCCAAAATCACATTTTGGAATCACATGTCTATCTTAAGTATTCTTTGTTGGTGGTGGTGAGGGTAGTACTGAAATTAGGGTGCATTTTACAATCAATGGCTTCTAACAATTGAAAAAAATACAATGAGAGTAGCTGTAGTGCTATAGTAGTCCAGACCTCCATCTCTCAAGCCAGAGTGACCTCAATTGATCCAGATGAGCCCACTCCCCTTGCCCTAATTTGCTCATGTACAAAAAAGTTCATTTCATAGTAAAACGAGCTAATATACCAATATGCTCAAGAACACACTTTTCACTTTTATACAAGCACTACTTTCTTTGTCTCACTAACAAAATGAGAAAATTGTCCCAGTGATCCAAAATGTTATTATTATTAATTGATGTCAAGTTGACTTCTATTTATATGGTCTTATTAATGACAGACGACATTAATAAAACCAGATTGAGAGACCTTAAATTTGCTATATAATTAACAGACCTTAAGGTCTTGCAAACTCAGGACTGTGGCCTTCTTGACTGAGTGCTTCTATCTGCAATGTGGTCTTCCTCCTTTCTAAGTGCCTTCTGCTTAGCAAGCATGACTGCCTTTTTCTTCTCATGGTAGGGCTAAAGTATGAAAGTCTCAGTTTAGTCACATTGATTCAGACTTCATTTGTTCTAGGCCTTTTTTTGTCTTTTTAGCAGTCTACAGTATTTATAAAACTTTTCTCCACCACGACAGTTCAAATTAATTGATGGTCTTCCTATCACCTTTCTTCAGCATCATACCTAGGA